TTAATTTCTCTACCATAAGCCGCCTCCGTCGTTCTAGAGAAATTGGCAGTACGTCCAACCGGCCTCACAACCGCAGACCATGTGTATGGCGTTGTGTGGGCGAACGGTTTGCTGATGTCAACGGTGTGAACAGAGTGCCCCCATGGTGGCGGTGGGGTTATGGTATGGGCAGGCATAAGCTACGGACAACGAACACAATTGCATTTTATCGATGGCAATTTGAATGCACAAAAATACTGTGACCAAATCCTGAGGCCCATTGTGAGTATCGTCTGTTTGAAGGTATCTGTGATCAACAGATGCATGTCTGTATTCCAAGTCATGTGAAATCCATAGATTAGGGCCTAATAAAATGTACACTGCTCAAAAAAATTAAGGGAACACTAAAATAACACATCCTAGATCTGAATGAATTAAATAATCTTATTAAATACTTTTTTCTTTACATAGTTGAATGTGCTGACAACAAAATCACACAAAAATGATCAATGGAAATCAAATGTTTCAACCCATGGAGGTCTGGATTTGGAGTCACCCTCAAAATTAAAGTGGAAAACCACACTACAGGCTGATCCAACTTTGATGTAATGTCCTTAAAACAAGTCAAAATGAGGCTCAGTAGTGTGTGTGGCCTCCACGTGCCTGTATGACCTCCCTACAACGCCTGGGCATGCTCCTGATGAGGTGGCGGATGGTCTCCTGAGGGATCTCCTCCCAAACCTGGACTAAAGCATCCGCCAACTCCTGGACAGTCTGTGGTGCAACGTAGCGTTGGTGGATGGAGCGAGACATGATGTCCCAGATGTGCTCAATTGGATTCAGGTCTGGGGAACGGGCGGGCCAGTCCATAGCATCAATGCATTCCTCTTGCAGGAACTGCTGACACACTCCAGCCACATGAGGTCTAGCATTGTCTTGCATTAGGAGGAACCCAGGGCCAACCGCACCAGCATATGGTCTCACAAGGGGTCTGAGGATCTCATCTCGGTACCTAATGGCAGTCAGGCTACCTCTGGCGAGCACATGGAGGGCTGTGAGGCCCCCCAAAGAAATGCCACCCCACACCATGACTGACCAACCGCCAAACCGGTCATGCTGGAGGATGTTGCAGGCAGCAGAACGTTCTCCACGGCGTCTCCAGACTCTGTCACGTCTGTCACGTGCTCAGTGTGAACCTGCTTTCATCTGTGAAGAGCACAGGGCGCCAGTGGCGAATTTGCCAATCTGGGTGTTCTCTGGCAAATGCCAAACGTCCTGCACGGTGTTGGGCTGTAAGCACAACCCCCACCTGTGGACGTCGGGCCCTCATACCACCCTCATGGAGTCTGTTTCTGACCGTTTGAGCAGACACATGCACATTTGTGGCCTGCTGGAGGTCATTTTGCAGGGCTCAGGCAGTGCTCCTCCTGCTCCTCCTTGCACAAAGGCGGAGGTAGCAGTCCTGCTGCTGGGTTGTTACCCTCCTACGGCCTCCTCCACGTCTCCTGATGTACTGGCCTGTCTCCTGGTAGCGCCTCCATGCTCTGGACACTACGCTGACAGACACAGCAAACCTTCTTGCCACAGCTCGCATTGATGTGCCATCCTGGATGAGCTGCACTACCTGAGCCACTTGTGTGGGTTGTAGACTCCGTCTCATGCTACCACTAGAGTGAAAGCACCGCCAGCATTCAAAAGTGACCAAAACATCAGCCAGGAAGCATAGGAACTGAGAAGTGGTCTGTGGTCACCACCTGCAAAACCAGTCCTTTATTGGGGGTGTCTTGCTAATTGCCTATAATTTCCACCTGTTGTCTATTCCATTTGCACAACAGCATGTGAAATGTATTGTCAATCAGTGTTGCTTCCTAAGTGAACAGTTTGATTTCACAGAAGTGTGATTGACTTGGAGTTACATTGTGTTGTTTAAGTGTTCCCTTTATTTTTTTGAGCAGTGTATTTCAAATAACTGATTTTCTCATATCAACTGTAACCAATGTTCCTTAAAAATTGTTTTACCACTGAGCAAATTTCAGGTCTGCTGAGCTCAAACTTTAACATTCTGTGCAACTTCCAGCACGCGTTTACTGTGAACACTGAGGCTGTACCCGCTTTAAGTTACAGTTTTAACAGTGGCCAAGTAGGCTACTGTGGCTATTTGATCATAATGTAGGCCTACCAGAGTGGCCTACCATCAAAAACAATGGAGAAAATGCATCCCATAACATTTTTAACATGGAAAAGCTGTTCTATCGGCATTAACCTAATTATCCACTGGTCCTTCAGAAAAGGAGGTGACTGAAAATGTTGTGTTTGATGCAAGAAACCGCGTTAGAAAATAAAAATCATTATTATTCCCAAACCTTTATTACAGAGAATCAGACAAATTACTACCCTCTGCCTATTGGCTACTTATTCAAGCCTGTCTCAAAATACAACACTGCCGCATCGGTCTGTGTAGAGTACGCTTCAGCGATACAGATTGAATAGAGCCTTTAATCTAAGTACTGTGTCGTCAATGCTGTAGTTCTGTGCTTTTTAATAGGCTGTAGGTTGCGGACCAGTGTTTTGATACTGTGCATGTACACTACCGTTCAAAAGTTTGGGGTCACTTTAGAAATGTCCTTGTTTTTGAAAGAAAATCAATTTTTTTTATCCATTAAAATAACAAACTGGCACTAACCAGAATAGAAAGAGGAGTGGGAGGCCCCGGTGCACAACTGAGCAAGAGGACAAATACATTAGAGTGTCTATTTTGAGAAACAGACGCCTCACAGGTCCTCAACTGGCAGCTTCATTAAGTAGTACCCGCAAAACACCAGTCTCAATGTCAACAGTGAAGAGGCGACTCCGGGATGCTGACCTTCTAGCCAGAGTTGCAAAGAAAAAAAGCCATATCTCAGACTGGCCAATAAAAAGAAAAGATTAAGATGGGCAGTCTGAGATATGTAACTACAACAGCCATAAACTAGTGGAATATGAGATTGGTTTAAAGGAAGGCCACGGTGAGTCTGGCCCTAGATCACTCTGTGCTCATGCCAACTCCAAAGCAGTCATTGTCAAGCCAAAGTTTATTCGTTTTTTGTTTTTGTTTAAAACTAGTTTGACATGACAATGAGTGACATGGAGTTGGTATGATAGCTGTGGTCCTCTGTAGCTCAGCTGGTAGAGCACGGCGCTTGTAACGCCAAGGTAGTGGGTTCGATCCCCGGGACCACCCATACACAAAAATGTATGCACACATGACTAAGTCGTTTTGGATAAAAGCGTCTGCTAAATGGCATATTATTATTATTATTATTATAGCACAAACCGACTAGCACTCAAGCCAGACCAAAGTAGTTGCAAATATACACTACATGGCCAAAAGTATATGGACACCCCTTCAAATTAGTGGATTAAGCTATTTCAGCCACACCCGTTGCTGACAGGTGTATACAATCGAAACACACAGCCATGCAATCTCCATAGACAAACATTGGCAGTAGAATGGCCTTACTGAAGAGCTCAGTGACTTTCAACGTGGCGCCGTCATAGGGATGCCAGCTTTGCAACAAGTCAAATTTCTGCCCTGCTAGAGCTGCCCCGGTCAACTGTAAGTGCTTGGAAGTGGAAACGTCTAGGAGCAACAACGGCTCAGCCGTGAAGTGGTAGGCCCCACAAGCTCACAGAACGGGGCCGCCGAGTGCTGAAGCGCGTAAAAAATCCCAAAAGGCCTGGCCGTTCCAAATCTCTTGCGTAGCTTTGTTTCGGTATGTTGCATTGAAAGTGGCTAATATTGAGTTGATTCGATCCCTATTGCGACAGTAAAGGGGAAAACACTATATGCCACTACTTTGGCCTCGCCTGAGTGCCAGTCGGTTTGTGCTATCATACCAACTCCATGTCACTCATTGGCATGTCAAACTAGTTTTAAAACAAACAAAAAAATGAATAAACTTTGGCTTGACAATGTGCTCTTGCAAACGCCAAAGCAGTCAAAGTGATCTATGACCAGCCTTCCTTTAAACACCAATCTCATATTCCACTAGCTTATGGCTATTGTAGTTACATACCTGCACTGTATCAAAAACACTGGTCTGCAACCTACAACCTATTAAAGCACAGAACTACAGTATTGACGGCACAGTACTTAAGATTAAAGGCTCTATTCGATCTGTATCGCTGAAGCGTTACAGATTGTGCAATATTACTTTGAAGGTAATTTCCAATTGCGCCGACTTATGCAGCGTTTACCATGAATGCAGTCTCCGCTAACGCGGGAGCATGACCTTTTAAATTTCAAATCACGCTGTAACGTTGAACTTCTGCGATACGGATTGAATAGAGCCCTAATATCATAAATCCGTTTTATAGTGCCCTCCTACAATCTAGTATAGGAAGAAGACAAGGACATTATTTGGGTTCATAAAAGTGTTATTAACCATTCAAAAAAAAGTACAATCAATATTCTGCACATCAAAATATCATGTTTGTTTTCAAGCACCTTCAGATGGTGGTACCCTCTACAATATAATGTATAACTGTAAACAACGTCAAGTCTTGTTAATACAAAAATACATCATTTTAAACATGATCAGGGTTTGTTACAAAATATACATTCAATCTATCCCCGAGATTAGCTAGTGGTTAGTCTACAGAATCATTATACTACAGTGTTATACAATACTATTCCCTGTGTCATCTGATAACACACTACATAAGGGCTTGTAAGTAAGCATTTCACTGTAATGTCTGCACCTGTTGTATTCGGCGCATGTGACCAATAAAATTTGATTTGATTTGATTTGATACATGCAACATTACAGCAGACCTGGCTCCAAATGCTATTGGATATCATTCAGGACTATTCTATTGCTCCATTAACCCCAAGCAAGCTCAATGCACAGAGAAAAAGTATATGAAATTATCAAATAGTATTTGAACCCAGGTCTTAACATTAGATATTTAATAATTAAAGCAGATTTGTTTTGTACATTAATTAGCGACCATGATTTTTTTTCAAAATCCCATTTTTGATTTTATAACTTAATTTCTCTGGTGTTTATGGAGGAGTATATCTCTTCGGTGAGTGGTACGTATGTTTTCTTAGCTGGATCTAGGAAGTACAGAGGATCTTGGACCGCAGCTGGGTTGAAGCCCTCTTCCACCAACGTCACTTTCTTCATCTTAAATGTTCCCGTCATCTCGAAAGAGCTCTAAAGTGTTATACATAAGAATATATTGAAGAGTATTTTAAGAATATACAGTTGAAGTCGGAAGTTTACATACACCTTAGCCAAATACATTCAAACTCAGTTGTTCACAATTCCTGACATTTAATCCTAGTAAATATTCCCTGTCTTAGGTCAGTTAGGATCACCACTTTATTTTAAGAATGTGAAATGTCAGAATAATAGTAGAGAGAATGATTTATTTCAGCTTTTATTTCTTTCATCACATTTCCAGTGGGTCAGAAGTTTACATACACTCAATTAGTATTTGGTAGCATTGCCTTTAAGTTGTTTAACTTGGGTCAAACGTTTCGGGTAACCTTCCACAAGCTTCCCACAATAAGTTGGGTGAATTTTGGCCCATTGCTCCTGACAGAGCTGATGTAACTGAGTCAGGTTTGTAGGCCTCCTTGCTCGCACACGCTTTTTCAGTTCTGCCCACACATTTTCTATAGGATTGAGGTCAGGGCTTTGTGATGGCCACTCCAATACCTTGACTTTGTTGTCCTTAAGCCATTTTGCCACAACTTTGGAAGTATGCTTGGGGTCATTGTCCATTTGGAAGACCCATTTGCGACCAAGTTTTAACTTCCTGACTGATGTCTTGAGATGTTGCTTCAATATATCCACATAATTTTCCTTCCTCATGATGCCATCTATTTTGTGAAGTGCACCAGTCCCTCTTGCAGCAAAGCACCCCCACAGCATGATGCTGCCACCCCCGTTCTTCACGTTTGGGATGATGTTCTTCGGCTTGCAAGCAACCCCCTTTTTCCTCCAAACATAACGATGGTCATTATGGCCAAACAGTTCTATTTTTGTTTCATCAGACCAGAGGACATTTCTCCAAAAAGTACGATCTTTGTCCCCATATGTGCAGTTGAAAACTTTAGTCTGGCTTTTTTTATGGCAGTTTTGGAGCAGTGGCTTCTTCCTTGCTGAGTGGCCTTTCAGGTTATGTCGATATAGGACTCATTTTACTGTGGATATAGATACTTTTGTACCTGTTTCCTCCAGCATCTTCAAATTGGTCCTTTGCTGTTGTTCTGGGATTGATTTGCACTTTTCGCACCAAAGTACGTTCATCTCTAGGAGACAGAACGCGTCTCCTTCCTGAGCGGTATGACGGCTGCGTGGTCCCATGGTGTTTATACTTGGGTACTATTGTTTATACAGATGAACGTGGTACCTTCAGGCATTTGGAAATTGCTCCCAAGGATGAACCAGACTTGTTGAGGTCTACAATTTTTTTTCTGAGGTCTTGACTGATTTGTTTTGATTTTCCCATGATGTCAAGCAAAGAGGCACAGTTTGAAGGTAGGCCTTAAAATACATCCACAGGTACACCTCCAATTGACTCAAATGATGTCAATTAGCCTATCAGAAGCTTCTAAAGCCATGACATCATTTTCTGGAATTTTCCAAGCAGTTTAAAGGCACAGTCAACTTAGTGTATGTAAACCTCTGACCCACTGGAATTGTGATACATTTACATTTACATTTTAGTCATTTAGCAGACGCTCTTATCCAGAGCGACTTACAGTTAGTGCATACATTACTTATTTATTTTTTTCATACCCCCCGTGGGAAACGAACCCACAACCCTGGCGTTGCAAATGCCATGCTCTATGAACTGAATTATAAGTGAAATAATCTGTCTGTTAACAATTGTTAGAAAAATGCACAAAGTAGATGTCCTAACCAACTTGCCAAAACTATAGGTTTGTTAACAAGAAATGTGTGGAGTGGTTGAAAATCGAGTTTTAATGACTCCAACCTAAGTGTATGTAAACTTCCGACTTCAACTGTACATACACACACATATTGAGTGTACAAAACATTAAGAACATTTCCTAATATTGAGTTTATTGAAGGTTCTCCCATCTCCACAGAGGAACTCTGGAGCTCTGCCAGGGTGACCATTGGGTTCTTGGTCACCTCCCTGACCAAGGCCCTTCTCCCCCGATTGTCAGAGTGACCCGGTGGTCACTCTGAGAAAGCTCCAGAGTTCCTCTGTGGAGATGGGAGAACCTTCCAGAAGGACAACCATCTCTGCAGCGCTCCACCAATCAGGCCTTTATGGTAGAGTGGCCAGACGGAAGCCATTCCTCAGTAAAAGGCACATGACAGCCCGCTTGGAGTTTGCCAAAAGGCACCTAAAGGACTCTCAGACCATGAGAAACAAGACTCTCTGGTCTGATGAAACCAAGATTGAACTCTTTGGCCTGAATGCCAAGCGTCACATCTGGAGGAAACCTGGCACCATCCCTACGGTGAAGCATGGTGGTGGCAGCATCATGCTGTGGGGATGTTTTTCAGCTGCAGGGACTGGGAGACTAGTCAGGATCGAGGCAAAGGTGAATGGAGCAAAGTACAGAGAGATCCTTGATGAAAACCTGCTCCAGAGCACTCAGGACCTCAGACTGGGGTGAAGGTTCACCTTCCAACAGGACGACGACCCTAAGCACACAGCCAAGACAACGCAGGAGTGGCTTCGGGACAAGTCTCTGAATGTCCTTGAGTGGCCCAGCCAGAGCCTGGACTTGAACCCGATCGAACATCTCTGGAGAGACCTGAAAATAGCTGTGCAGCAACGCTCCCCATCCAACCTGACAGAGCTTGAGAGGATCTGCAGAGAAGAATGGGAGAAACTCCCCAAATACAGGTGTGCCAAGCTTGTAGCGTCATACCCAAGAAGACTCCAGGCTGTAATCGCTGCCAAAAAATGTCTAAAAACCTGTTTACGCTTTGTCATTATGGGGTATTTATTTAATCAATTTTAGAATAAGGCTGTAACGTAACAAAATGTGGAATAAGTCAAGGGGTATGAATACTTTCTGAAGGAATTGTATAATACAGTATACAAGTATATTTTAAGAGCTGAATATACTTCAAGACAACAGATTTTTCAACTTGAATGACAGAGGTGTTACAAGAACACTCCAATAGTAGAATAGCTTGATAGTTATACTGATTAAATCATGATAACAAACGGATACAAAGCTCACTTTAAACATGATTAAAAATGTGACAAATGGTAAGCTCACCTGTATTCTAATGAAGCGCGGTCTTGCGTAAGCAGGGAGGTAGTTGGCTACTTGGCTGAAGGTGTTGGCGCCGTCAAACTCTTCCCCTTCTTCTAACTTCACGGCAGCCATTCCAATCCTCCCCTCGTGACCTGGAGAGACACGTTTTTCAGACTACATTCCAAAATGGCACCCTATATAGGGCACACAGAGCCCTATGGGCCCTTGCCAAAAGTAGTGTGCTATTTAGGGAATAGTGTGCTATTTGGGACGCATCCTCAGACTGGTGAAAGAGGGTGATGAGAAGTCTATTGTATGTGTATGGATGAGTAGTCTATTGTCTTTCATTTTATATAGTCTCCTACTACTGAATGGCTAACATATCTAGAGCCAAATCTACTGTATTTCAATGCATACCAACCCTATAAACTAAAACGTTTATAATTTACATCAACTGTAAGCCCTATATTTGTTTGACAGGAAACACACTTCTTATAGTAACCTATAATAACGTTGTAAGTAATAACCTATAACTTAGTAGTAGCTGTTAACATCCTAAATCTGACCATATAGATAATTATTTACCTTCAACTTTCACACCATATACATTAGCCTCCTTGATGCAGTCCACCATTGTGAGGATATCAGCCACTTCGGTTGTCGCAACATTCTCGCCTTTCCACCTGAAATAACAAAAATATTTCCATGTTGGTCAACCCCAAGAGATGTTTGGCAGCCCCAAGAGATGTGTAATTCGAACCCTGAGTGACATACTGTGTAGGGTTGCAAAATTCTGATAACTTTACCAAAATTCCCAGATTTTTCCAGAATTCCTGGTTGTAGGATTCCGGATTTCCTGGTTATTTCCTCCTGATTTTCCAACTGGGATTTCTGGAAAACCTGGGAATTTTGGCATCCGTATTGCCTACCTGAAAGTGTCACCAACACGGTCCTGAAACTGTACAAAGTTTTGTTCATCGATCCTCAGCAGGTCTCCAGTGTTGAAGTACAGGTCACCTTTCTGTAAAACGTCTCTCAGTCTCTTCTTCTCTGTCTGTTGTTCGTTACCAGCATAACCAACAAAGGGAGATATCTTGGTTATCTTTCCAACCAAAAGTCCAGTCTCACCTAAAAAAAAAGAAAAAGGAAGATCAGGATAATGATGATGCTGCTCCCAATATATTTTTTAAAGAACTGTGTGTCAAGTGACTAAGAGTAGGATAACTGATCTGGGATTAGCACCCCCCCCCCGTAAATACAAACGTATGCATTGTGATCTAAAAACTGATCCTAAAGCAGTCCTATTGAGACGCTTGACACACATGGCTCCAGGTTCTTATTTGCAAAGATGACATTGGGTCATACTTTACCCCAACGTTGTTCTGTCCATCAATATGAAGCAATGACTTGGACCCAATCCATGTCAGAGTCTCCCCAAACCAAAAGGAACTTTGATACACATCATATCAAAATCAAATTTTATTTGTCACATACGCTTGTTTGGCAGATGTTATAGCGGGTGTAGCGAAACGCTTGTATCATAAAACACACAGTGTCCAAAGCTAGAATGTTCACAGTTGGTAGGTAAATAGGGGAAAGGTCAACACAAATCAAATGCAGTGAAGAAACTATGGCCCTATAGAGAAAGCAGTTGCAACATGACGCTGTTCCCAAATTCACCCCTTTCCCAACGTTGTTCTGTCAACAATATGAAGCAATGACTTGGACCCAATCCATGTCAGAGTTTACCTGAACTAATGGAACTTTGATAGACATCGTATTTATAAACAAACTGAGTGTCCAACGCTAGACACATTTTCTAGTCAGTGGGGTAAAAGGTCAACAGAAATAAAAAGGTACCTTTGGTTGCTTGGATACACAGACCCTTGGAGTTCCTAACAGGTTCCTCCTTCTCAATGTCAAATTTGATCAAAGTATAGGGGAACAGTCTCTGAAAGTGAAACACAATTACAAAAACATATATATTTTCTGTTTGGGAGGCACATCATTTACACATCAGGGTACTGATTTTAATTTATGTGATCCATGTGTAGTTATCCTGGTTTAATTGTGTTAAGAGGTCAGATCAAATCAAATGTTATTTGCCACATGCGCCGAATACAACAGGTGAAATGCTTACTTACAAGCCCTTAACCAACAATGCAGAGTGAGGAAATATTTGCTAAATAATCTAAAGTAAAAAAAAAGTAACACTAAATAATACGTTTTATAATACGTTTTAAGAAGAAGAAAAAATAATAGTGTTAAGTAAAATAATAGATAAGAATAAAAAATAACAAATATTTAAAGAGCAGCAGTAAAATAAAATAACAGTAGGGAGGCTGTATACAGGGGGTACCGGTACGGAGTCAATGTGCAGGGGGCAACGGTCAGATCACTACCTACCCTGTGGAGAAAGTTGATTCGTCCTACCACTCCTATCTTACTGGTGTAGTTGATGAAGCCAATGTTGCCTTCAGTGGCAGCGTACAGTTCCCTGACAGCTATGTCTCCAAAACGATTCAGAAACTCTGTCCAGATGTCTGAACGGACCCCGTTGCCGATGGCGATCCGCACTTTGTGGTCCTTCTCGTTGTCTTTCTGGAAATAGAACGCGACGAAGATTGATTTGTGATTTTATCTTCTACCTCAACAGACAGCGGGTGTTCAGAAAATATCAGTTACAGGGGTGGTGAACCGTTTCGAATATATATTTTTTTCTCCAATTAAAAGCCGTTAAATTTAACTTTGCTAGGTCGTCTGAGTTTTTACCATCAGCCCTACGGCAATAAGGTGGCTGTAACTTTAAAATAAAAACTGTAGTGATACAGCATTATGCTGGAGTCACTACACATACTAAAAACGTATGTACTGACTCACTGTACTGTAAATCGCTTTGGATAAAAGCATCTGCCAAGTGGCATTTATGATATATTATTATGGACTGACTCCTTTGTAACATTCTTTATGTGACATACATTTATCAATTTCCATTACTGTCAGTGTGTCTTGACTAGACGTTTACATTTTACATTTGTCATTTAGCAGACGCACTTATCCAGAGCAACTTACAGTTAGTGAGTGCATACATTTCCGTACTGGTCACCCGTGGGAATCGAACCCACAACCATGGCGTTGCATACGCCATGCTGTACCAACTGAGCTACACAGAACCGGTGTCCTAGACGAGGTGTCCTTTACCGTGGGAGTGTTGCAGAGGTACCTCATGGTCTCTCCGATGTACTGCATCACCGTTACGTTATGTTTCCTACAGTCCTCCCAGAACTGAGACGCTGAAAACTTTCTCCTCAGGACAACTGTTATGCCTGGTATAGGAGACAGATGATGCCACAGATTGGCTATTTAATAATATATCCTTAGGTACATTTCTGACTAACACCATCTTGTTCAGACATTATCTAAAAGTAGAGCAAAGTAATCTTTTCACCGTGCACCGCAATACATAATTGACAATACGCAATACATAATACATAATATACAATACGCAATACATAATACATAATATACAATACGCAATACATAATACATAATATACAATACGCAATACATAATATACAATACGCAATACATAATATACAATACGCAATACATAATACATAATATACAATACATAATACACAATACATAGTGTACAATACGCAATACATAATACATAATATACAATACATAATACATAATACATCATACATAATACATATACAATACGCAAAACATAATTCATAATATACAATACGCAATATGCAATACATAATATACAATACGCAATACATAATATACAATACGCAATACAAATACACAATATCAAACTAAAACAATATACATAACAATACACAATATGCAATACAAGCATACATAATACATATAGTACAACACTAATACACAATATACAATCCAATACCAATACATAATATAAATATGCAACACAATACTACACTATGCAACACAATACCAATCTATATACAAACGACAAACTAATATACAACACAATACAACAATATGCAACACAATACATAATATTGCAAACCAATACACAATACATATATGCAACCAAAACAATATGCAACACAAATACAACAATATAGCAACACATAACAATATTGCAACACAAACATATACAACACTACAATACACATACATAATTGCAACATACAATAATTGCAACACAATACACACATTGCAACAACAATAGCAACCAATACAATACACATAACCAATACATAATAATTGCAACACAATACACAATACATAATATTGCAACACAATATTGCAACGCAATACACAATATAGCAACACAATAGACAATATTGCAACACAAAACAATACAGCAACACAATACACACTATTGCAACACAATATAGCAACACAATACACATATTGCAACACAAAACAATATGCAAACAAAACATATAGCAACACAATACATAATATTGCAACACAATACACACTATTGCAACACAATACACAATATTGCAACACAAAACAATATAGCAACACAATACACAATATTGCAACACAATACATAATATTGCAACACAATACACAATACATAATATTGCAACACAATATTGCAACGCAATACACATATAGCAACACAATAGACAATATTGCAACACAAAACAATATCACGCAATCACATACACATATGCACACAATACACAATATTGCAACACAAATAGCAACACATACACAATATTGCAACACAATACACAATATGCAACACAATAAACAATATAGCAACACAATAGACAATATTGCAACACAAAACAATATAGCAACACAATACACAATATTGCACAAAACACATAATAGCAACACAATACAATATTGCAACACAATACACAATATTGCAACACAAAACAATATAGCAACACAATACACAATATTGCAACACAAAAACAATATAGCAACACAATACATAATATTGCAACACAATACACACATGACAATATTGCCAAAAACACAATACACATATATATGCAACACAATACACATATTGCAACACAATACACAATATTGCAACACAATACACAATATGCAACACAATAACAATATTGCAACACAATACACAACTATATGCAACACATACACAATATTGCAACACAATACATAATATTGCAACACAATACACAATACACAATATGCAACACAATACACAATATTGCAACACAATACAATATAGCAACACAATACACAATATTGCAACACAAAACAATATAGCAACACAATACACAATATTGCAACACAATACATAATATTGCAACACAATACACAATACATAATATTGCAACACAATACACAATATAGCAACACAATAGACAATATTGCAACACAAAACAATATAGCAACACAATACACAATATTGCAACACAATACACACTATTGCAACACAATACACAATATTGCAACACAAACAATAATGCAACAATACAATAGCAACAATACATATGCACAATAATATGCAACACAATACACAATATTGCAACACAAAACAATATAGCAACATAATACAATATTGCAACACAATACACATATACATATGCAACAATATCACAATACAATATTGCAACACAAAACAATATAGCAACATAATACAATATAGCTACACAATATTGCAACACAATACACATCGTCCACCTATGTTGAATGTATGAGTGTGAAAACTACTAATGTCTCTAATGGTTTCATTCAGCATGCAGTATACTCAACCTGCTCTGATATGTACTACGTATGACTCATTTCTGTATTGTTTATTTGAGGAGGGACAGATACAAACACATTGACATGTTGAATAAACATAATCTGATGTCTTGCACCACAGTGTGTATAGCACAGCTTGCACCAACTTCCAACACTCATCCCTAGCATTTCAAAATAAGAGTCATAACATTACCCCTCTCGATGGCCCCGGTAAGTCCGATGAGGAAGCCGGCGCTGTGATAGAGGGGCAGGTTGATATAGAATACATCCTCGGATGTCACTCCTGAGATGGCTTGGATAAAGGACGCAGTCCACAACCTCTCCTGGGTCACCAGAGCCGCTTTAGGTAGACCTACAGTCAGACAGGACAGTGGGTTATCTATAGACAATAGGAAGACCTACAGTCAGACAGGACAGTGGGTTATCTATAGACAATAGGTAGACCTACAGTCAGACAGGACAGTGGTTATCTATAGACAATAGGTAGACCTACAGTCAGACAGGACAGTGGGTTATCTATAGACAATAGGTAGACCTACAGTCAGACAGGACAGTGGGTTATCTATAGACAATAGGTAGACCTACAGTCAGACAGGACAGTGGTTATCTATAGACAATAGGTAGACCTACAGTCAGACAGGACAGTGGTTATCTATAGACAATAGGTAGACCTACAGTCAGACAGGACAGTGGGTTATCTATAGACAATAGGAAGACCTACAGTCAGACAGGACAGTGGGTTATCTATAGACAATAGGTAGACCTACAGTCAGACAGGACAGTGGGTTATCTATAGACAATAGGTAGACCTACAGTCAGACAGGACAGTGGTTATCTATAGACAATAGGTAGACCTACAGTCAGACAGGACAGTGGGTTATCTATAGACAATAGGTAGACCTACAGTCAGACAGGACAGTGGGTTATCTATAGACAATAGGAAGACCTACAGTCAGACAGGACAGTGGTTATCTATAGACAATAGGTAGACCTACAGTCAGACAGGACAGTGGTTATCTATAGACAATAGGTAGACCTACAGTCAGACAGGACAGTGGGTTATCTATAGACAATAGGTAGACCTACAGTCAGACAGGACAGTGGTTATCTATAGAAAATAGGAAGACCTACAGTCAGACAGGACAGTGGGTTATCTATAGACAATAGGTAGACCTACAGTCAGACAGGACAGTGGGTTATCTATAGACAATAGGAAGACCTACAGTCAGACAGGACAGTGGGTTATCTATAGACAATAGGTAGACCTACAGTCAGACAGGACAGTGGGTTATCTATAGAAAATAGGTAGACCTACAGTCAGACAGGACAGTGGGTTATCTATATACAATAGGTAGACCTACAGTCAGACAGGACAGTGGTTATCTATAGACAATAGGTAGACCTACAGTCAGACAGGACAGTAGGTTATATATAGACAATAGGTAGACCTACAGTCAGACAGGACAGTGGGTTATCTATAGACAATAGGTAGACCTACAGTCAGACAGGACAGTGGGTTATCTATAGACAATAGGAAGACCTACAGTCAGACAGGACAGTGGGTTATCTATAGAAAATAGGTAGACCTACAGTCAGACAGGACAGTGGGTTATCTATAGACAATAGGTAGACCTACAGTCAGACAGGACAGTGGTTATCTATAGACAATAGGAAGACCTACAGTCAGACAGGACAGTGGTTATCTATAGACAATAGGTAGACCTACAGTCAGACAGGACAGTGGGTTATCTATAGACAATAGGAAGACCTACAGTCAGACAGGAGGACAGTGGTTATCTATAGACAATAGGTAGACCTACAGTCAGACAGGACAGTGGTTATCTATAGACAATAGGTAGATCTAGTCAGACAGGACAGTGGTTATCTATAGACAATAGGTAGACCTACAGTCAGACAGGACAGTAGGTTATATATAGACAATAGGTAGACCTACAGTCAGACAGGACAGTGGGTTATCTATAGACAATAGGTAGACCTACAGTCAGACAGGACAGTGGGTTATCTATAGACAATAGGTAGACCTACAGTCAGACAGGACAGTGGTTATCTATAGACAATAGGAAGACCTACAGTCAGACAGGACAGTTGATTATCTATAGACAATAGGTAGACCTACAGTCAGACAGGACAGTGGTTATCTATAGACAATAGACACAGTGCATTGAATGACGTATGCATAACAAATCCTACCCCCAGGAAAAGTTTCAATAGGTATAAGCAATATGAGAAAAAAAGTAATTTCAGATTTACATCCAAATTGATCTATTAGGGGACTAGGAGCCCCTTAAAGAAACCAGCCCTAGCCCCTTCCAGCCCTATCCCTTCCAGTCCTAGCCCCTTCCAGCCCTAGCCCCTTCCAGTCCTAGCCCCTTCCAGCCCTAGCCCCTTCCAGCCCTATCCCCTTCCAGCCCTAGCCCCTTCCAGCCCTATCCCCTTCCAGCCCTATCCCCTTCCAGCCCTATCCCTTCCAGCCCTATCCCCTTCCAGCCCTAGCCCCTTCCAGCCCTAGCCCCTTCCAGTCCTAGCCCCTTCCAGTCCTAGGCCCTTCCAGCCCTATCCCCTTCCAGTCCTAGCCCCTTCCAGTCCTATCCCCTTCCAGTCCTAGCCCCTTCCAGCCCTAGGTCCTTCCAGCCCTATCCCCTTCCAGCCCTAGGCCCTTCCAGTCCTAGCCCCTTCCAGCCCTAGCCCCTTCCAGCCCTAGCCCCTTCCAGTCCTAGCCCCTTCCAGTCCTATCCCCTTCTAGCCCTATCCCCTTCCAGCCCTATCCCCTTCCAGCCCTAGGCCCTTCCAGTCCTAGCTCCCAGCTTGTTTCTGGAAGAGGCCCCGGTCTTCTTTACTAAGGTAGCTGATAGGTGTCTACCAGTGGTTCCTGAGGTGTAGAGGAGGACTGAGGGGTTTACCAGTGGTTCCTGCGGTGCGGAAGAGGACTGAGGGGCTTACCAGTGGTTCCTGCGGTGCGGAAGAGGACTGAGGGGCTTACCAGTGGTTCCTGAGGTGTAGAGGAGGACTGAGGGGCTTACCAGTGGTTCCTGAGGTGTAGAGGAGGACTGAGGGGCTTACCAGTGGTTCCTGAGGTGTGGAAGAGGACTGAGGTGCTTACCAGTGGTTCCTGAGATGTAGAGGAGGACTGAGGGGCTTAACAGTGGTTCCTGAGGTGTAGAGGAGGACTGAGGGGTTTACCAGTGGTTCCTGAGGTGTAGAGGAGGACTGAGGGGCTTACCAGTGGTTCCTGAGGTGTGGAAGAGGACTGAGGTGCTTACCAGTGGTTCCTGAGATGTAGAGGAGGACTGAGGGGCTTAACAGTGGTTCCTGAGGTGTAGAGGAGGACTGAGGGGCTTACCAGTGGTTCCTGAGGTGTAGAGGAGGACTGAGGGGCTTACCAGTGGTTCCTGAGGTGTAGAGGAGGACTGAGGGGCTTACCAGTGGTTCCTGAGGTGTAGATGTAGAGTGCAGGGCTCTTGATGGTGATGTTGGCCCTGAGGTCAGCTGACAGGGGTCCGTCTGAGGCCTGGGTGATATGTTCTGAGAGGGGGTTGATGCCTTCTACACTGCACTCCTCTGACAGGAGGTATACAGAGATACCCTGCTGTTTTAGTGTAGGGAGAACCTCCTCCACTGCCTCCTTCAGCTCTGTAGGAGAGAGGGAGGGAGAGAGGGAGACGGAGAGACACACACACAGAGAGACAGACAGGTGACATTACTCTCAACTCCTTAGAGCAGGGTTCCCCAACTGGCTGAAGGGCGGTTGGGTGGCGGGCGGGTTGAATAAAGAGAAAACAATGCCTTAAAACATCAATAAATGTTTCATTCTTGTGCAATTTATATATAGGCTACATTGAGGTTTTTCTTTCATTCTTTTAGGATATCTGGCATTAGAGTGAACGCCTGAGCTTCAGGGCCTCAGGGACTGTACGTTACTTATAATGAGGGATACCTGGAGAAAGCCGGACCGCTCTGAAAAAAAAAATGAAAAAAAAAAGTGACCCTCCACTATACCCAAAATAATAGTTAAAACATAAAGTGGATAGCAGAGGACATGCCTACCATTTACCCTCACTCATATCACAGACCAGAGCCTTTAGGTATGCAGTTCACCCTCACTCCTATCACAGACCAGAGCCTTTAGGTATGCAGTTCACCCTCACTCCTAGGACAGACCAGAGCCTTTAGGTATGCAGTTCACCCTCACTCATATCACAGACCAGAGCCTTTAGGTATGCAGTTCACCCTCACTCATATCACAGACCAGAGCCTTTAGGTATGCAGTTCACCCTCATATCCCAACAGGCATCAGAGTCACATCTTTCCCTGGCATTGTCCATTTTAGGAGTGCATGGTGGTGACTGAAGGAATTGGATGACAAAATCTATGGATAGTAGACTATCATTTTGTCTGTCAAACAACGTAGGTCTACCTCTTATTTGTTGAATAGGAAGAAATAGGCTCCAACACAAAACCCTCTTGTTGTTAGAACGGGCAGAAAAAGTTTACTTCAATCCATGGAGGCAAAAAGGACAATGTCTGAGTTTAATTCAATAAGAGAAAAGCTGCAAAATGGAGAGTTGAAGATAAAGAGAAGGGAGGGTCAGAACAGTAGTCTGATGTTATAGAAGGGAGGGTCAGAACAGTAGTCTGATGTTATAGAAGGGAGGGTCAGAACAGTAGTCTGATGTTATAGAAGGGAGGGTCAGAACAGTAGTCTAATGTTATAGAAGGGAGGGTCAGAACAGTAGTCTAATGTTATAGAAGGGAGGGTCAGAACAGTAGTCTAATGTTATAGAAGGGAGGGTCAGAACAGTAGTCTAATGTTATAGAAGGGAGGGTCAGAACAGTAGTCTAATGTTATAGAAGGGAGGGTCAGAACAGTATTCTAATGTTATAGAAGGGAGGGTCAGAACAGTAGTCTAATGTTATAGAAGGGAGGGTCAGAACAGTATTCTAATGTATAGAAGGGAGGGTCAGAACAGTAGTTCTAATGTTATAGAAGGGAGGGTCAGAACAGTAGTCTGATGTTATAGAACGGAGGGTCAGAACAGTAGTCTAATGTTATAAGAAGGGAGGGTCAGAACAGTAGTCTAATGTTTATAGAAGGGAGGGTCAGAACAGTAGTCTAATGTTATAAGAAGGGAGGGGCCAGAACAGTAGTCTGATTTATAAGAAGGGAGGGTCAGAACAGAGTCTAATGTATAGAAGGGAGGGTCAGAACAGTAGTCTAATGTTATAGAAGGGAGGGTCCAGAACAGTAGTCTAATGTTATAGAAGGGAGGGTCAGAACAGTAGTCTGATGTTATAGAAGGGAGGGTCAGAACAGTAGTCTAATGTTATAGAAGGCAGGGTCAGAACAGTAGTCTAATGTTATAGAAGGGAGGGTCAGAACAGTAGTCTAATGTTATAGAAGGGAGGGTCAGAACAGTAGTCTAATGTTATAGAAGGGAGGGTCAGAACAGTAGTCTGATGTTATAGAAGGGAGGTTCAGAACAGTAGTCTAATGTTATGGCGCAGTGGTCTAAGGCACTGCATCGCAGTGCTAGCTGTGCCACTAGAGATCCTGGTTCGAATCCAGGCTCTGTCACAGCCGGCCGCGACCGGGAGACTCATGGGCAGCGCACAATTGGCCTAGCGTTGTCCAGGGTAGGGGAGGGAATGGCCGGCAGGGATGTAGCTCAGTTGATAGAGCATGGCGTTTGCAACGCCAGGGTTGTGGGTTCGATTCCCACGGGGGACCAGTATGAAAAAAAATAAAAAAAATGTATTCACTAACTGTAAGTCGCTCTGGATAAGAGCGTCTGCTAAATGACTAAAATGTAAAATGTAGAAGGGAGGGTCAGAACAGTAGTCTAATGTTATAGAAGGGAGGGTCAGAACAGTAGTCTAATGTTATAGAAGGGAGGGTCAGAACAGTAGTCTAATGTTATAGAAGGGAGGGTCAGAACAGTAGTCTAATGTTATAGAAGGGAGGGTCAGAACAGTAGTCTAATGTTATAGAAGGGAGGGTCAGAACAGTAGTCTAATGTTATAGAAGGGAGGGTCAGAACAGTAGTCTAATGTTATAGAAGGGAGGGTCAGAACAGTAATGTTTGGGAAAGATTTGGTGAAGTGGTAAAAGAGGATGATAGCTGTTATGTGTGATGATTGTGAGGCACTATACAAATTTGACAGTCACAAGATGGGGACTTCGAATAGGGAAGTTCAAGGGAACTGTAGCCTTATGTTCAGATGGGTTAAATGGAAACTGAAATCTGGACACTGACCTTATGTCTGTAACCTCTCACATAGCCTTAATATTAACTCCTGCAGAATTAAGCATTTATTGTAGTAAAATTATACACCAAATGTAAGAAAAATGTTGACTCGGGAACAGGAGCGGAGAAATATGATATATTTCAGCATCTTGAGAATGTGAATGCTCAGATACTGTCTGTAGTTGAGGCGCTATCTTTAAAAGCTGATAGTATTTTAACCACATAAAATATGCATCCAAGCCGAACTGAAAATGTATCAGAAACATGTTGGGTGATTTTTAAATCTTTCTATTCCACTACAACCGGTTAAACTGATGTAATTTGGAAATTTTGCACAGAAAAATCTTTACCGGTTTTTCATGTTATTGCATTTTCTCCCCGGTCCCTAACCATATTTCTCCGCGAAAGATGACAGAAAACGTTACGGATGACAACTAGATTGAATCATTAATTATTTTAATCTGGTGAACAAGGGTTTATTTAGTGTTCTAGGGCAACATACTGTATAATGATGACAGAAGAGAAGTTGACTAACAAATAGCCTACACAAATGTCGGAAATTATAAGCAGAAACACATCTAAATCAGGCAAAAAAAAATCCTGCACCCCTTGTCAAAAACTCGCTCCGCCGTCTTTGACTATAGCACGGCGCATTTTCTATATAATAATAATAATAATAATAATAATAATAATAATAATAATATGTCATTTAGCAGACGCTTTTATCCAAAGCGACTTACAGTCATGCGTGCATACATTTTCGTGTATGGGTGGTCCCGGGGATCGAACCCACTACCCAGGCGTTACAAGCGCCGTGCTCTACCAGCTGAGCTACAGAGGACCACGTTATATATGTTATATATTATGCTATGTTATATTAGCGGGTTAGGCCATCAGATTTTCACCTTATCACATTTAGTCTGACTCAGTGGGCTCCCGAGTGGCGCAGCGGTCTAAGGCACTTTCTAAGGCAATTTCTCAGTGCTTGAGGCGTCGATTCCAGGTTGTATCACAACCGGCCGTGATTGGGAGTCCCATAGGGCGGCGCACAATTGGCCCAGCGTCGTCCGGGTTTGGCTGGGGTAGACTGTCATTGTAAATAAGAATTTGTTCTTAACTGCCTTGCCTAGAAAAATAAAATAGTCAGGCGGTTGTGTATGGGTTATTAACCATTGCGAGCGGGTATTGGTAAACAAGCAGCTGACCCGGGTATCACTATGGCAAACACATTTCGGAGTCTTACTAATGTAACACACTAGTATAAGGAATAGCTGTTTAGGGGTTTTGAAAGCTATACTCTAGTCCTACCCTTAGACTAGGGCCTAGTCGTATAGAAACACATGCCCCCCAACCTTAAGGTTTTCACTAGTTAAATTGGCTATATCGTAAAAATGGGTTATCATTTTTTTTGTCTTAATTTCAGGTTATTCATAAGGTTAACAGTGTGGTAATGTTAGGTTTAAAATAAGATTTTTTATAAGCGAAAATGTAGAAATATGCGGGGTTAAGCCATATAATTATGACTTTGTGGCTGTGGTTACTAGTGACAAACCGAACCTAACCTTACCTACGTGTGTGTATCGCGAACAACAGCGTGAGCAAACAATAGTGGAATCGGACGTTCGCCTTCAAAATAAAAGTCCCCCATTGAAACTGATGTTTAAACGGATGAATAGTGGAATCCTCACCTGCAGCTGCGATGATCACTTTGGCCCCACAGCATGAGAAACAGTGTAGCAGAGATTTTGACCTTATGTTGAAGTTGAGCAGAGCGGTTGCACAGCCCAGTTTGGCCAGGCCCAGCCAAATCCACGCGTAAGAGGGTTCGTTCCCCATAAAGAGAGCTACCGTGTCCCCCTCTTTTAGATTGGCGTGAGTCTTCAATGCTCTTGCAACCTTGTTACTCAGTTTATCCACCTCGATGTAAGAATGTGATGTCCCCTCAAAATGCAGGAAAGTTTTATTCGGGTGTTTCTTCACCGTGTCCAAAAAGCAGTCCAAAATGCTATAGAAAGGATTTTTCTTTTTGTATTTTCGCAGCCTGATTCCAAGTTTGATTGTTTTGAACATATATGAACAGTCTTGGCCAAAGTATGGATCGAATAACGTTTTCAGAAGAAAAGGCAAAATAGCCAATCCGGCTATGATTGTAAACCAAATGTACATCTTGTAGCTGCGGGTTATAGACGCTTTTGCCGCTGAGAATTAAAAGGTTGTAGACCTACCTCCAAAAAACGGAATGTTATAAAGTAACAAATGGGTGGCAAAGTTCATTCCAAAAACCCGACCTCGCATTACAAGCAGCCTTAGTACAGTGGGCGGGGTACATTTTCTCCCATGTTCCTCCCCCTGTGGGTTGCCAGATCGAGCTTTTGAACATTTACATTTAACTGATATTTCACATGAACAAAAAAATCAAGTCTCTGATATGATAAAGAATTATGTACCTATGGCTCAAATTAAAATAACAGCTGATATTCATTGATATATAAAGTGATTGTCTGTTCTTGGCAAGCAGCTGGAAAGACCATTTACAAACTTCATTCAATACAGAAAGCATTTGGCAACCAAAGCCCTGCAACAACCTTAGAGTGAGCCTAGTGGGCGGGCACATCACCCAACCATTAGTTCTTCACTGATTGGATAAGACTTATGAAAGACCCTTGTGAAAGGAACCCTTGAGTTGTGAGCTAACATTCATTGTGCCATGTGTACAAATGTTGTTGTAGACAGGAAAGTAACCTAGTAGAGCCTGATTCAGTAGACAGTAGCCTAGTAGAGCCTGATTCAGTAGACAGTAGCCTAGTAGAGCCTGATTCAGTAGACAGTAACCTAGTAGAGCCTGATTCAGTAGACATAGTAACTTAGTAGAGCCTGATTCAGTAGACAGTAGCCTAGTAGAGCCTGATTCAGTAGACAGTAAAGTAGCTTAGTAGAGCCTGATTCAGTAGACAGTAGCTTAGTAGAGCCTGATTCAGTAGACAGTAACCTAGTAGAGCCTGATTCAGTAGACAGTAAAGTAGCTTAGTAGAGCCTGATTCAGTAGACAGTAGCTTAGTAGAGCCTGATTCAGTAGACAGAATAACCTAGTAGAGCCTGATTCAGTAGACAGTAGCTTAGTAGAGCCTGATTCAGTAGACATTAGCTTAGTAGAGCCTGATTCAGTAGACAGTAAAGTAGCCTAGTAGAGCCTGATTCAGTAGACAGTAAAGTAGCCTAGTAGAGCCTGATTCAGTAGACAGTAAAGTAACCTAGTAGAGCCTGATTCAGTAGACAGTAGCCTAGTAGAGCCTGATTCAGTAGACATAGTAACCTAGTAGAGCCTGATTCAGTAGACAGTAGCCTAGTAGAGCCTGATTCAGTAGACAGTAGCCTAGTAGAGCCTGATTCAGTAGACATAGTAACCTAGTAGAGCCTGATTCAGTAGACAGTAGCCTAGTAGAGCCTGATTCAGTAGACAGTAGCCTAGTAGAGCCTGATTCAGTAGACAGTAAAGTAGCCTAGTAGAGCCTGATTCAGTAGACATAGTAGCCTAGTAGAGCCTGATTCAGTAGACAGTAAAGTAGCCTAGTAGAGCCTGATTCAGTAGACAGTAAAGTAGCCTAGTAGAGCCTGATTCAGTAGACAGTAAAGTAGCCTAGTAGAGCCTGATTCAGTAGACAGAGCAAACTAGTAGAGCCTGATTCAGTAGACAGAGCAAACTAGTAGAGCCTGATTCAGTAGACAGTAAAGTAGCCTAGTAGAGCTTGATTCAGTAGACTGTAAAGTAGCCTAGTAGAGCCTGATTCAGTAGACAGTAAAGTAGCTTAGTAGAGCCTGATTCAGTAGACATAGTAGCCTAGTAGAGCCTGATTCAGTAGACAGTAAAGTAGCCTAGTAGAGCCTGATTCAGTAGACAGAGCAAACTAGTAGAGCCTGATTCAGTAGACATAGTAGCCTAGTAGAGCCTGATTCAGTAGACAGTAAAGTAGCCTAGTAGAGCTTGATTCAGTAGACTGACAGTAGCAAACTAGTAGAGCCTGATTCAGTAGACATAGAGCAATAGACTAGTAGAGAGCCTGATTCAGTAGACAGTAAAGTAGCCTAGTAGAGCCTGATTCAGTAGACAGTAAAGTAGCCTAGTAGAGCCTGATTCAGTAGACAGTAAAGTAGCCTAGTAGAGCCTGATTCAGTAGACATAGTAGCCTAGTAGAGCCTGATTCAGTAGACATAGTAGCCTAGTAGAGCCTGATTCAGTAGACAGTAAAGTAGCCTAGTAGAGCCTGATTCAGTAGACAGTAAAGTAGCCTAGTAGAGCCTGATTCAGTAGACAGAGCAAACTAGTAGAGCCTGATTCAGTAGACATAGTAGCCTAGTAGAGCCTGATTCAGTAGACAGTAAAGTAGCCTAGTAGAGCCTGATTCAGTAGACAGTAAAGTAGCCTAGTAGAGCCTGATTCAGTAGACAGTAAAGTAGCCTAGTAGAGCCTGATTCAGTAGACAGTAAAGTAGCCTAGTAGAGCCTGATTCAGTAGACAGTAAAGTAGCCTAGTAGAGCCTGATTCAGTAGACAGTAAAGTAAGCCTAGTAGAGCCTGATTTCAGTAGACAGTAGTAGCCTAGTAGAGCCTGATTCAGTAGACAGTAAAGTAGCCTAGTAGAGCCTGATTTCAGTAGTTAGACAGTAAAGTAGCCTAGTAGAGCCTGATTCAGTAGACAGTAAAGTAGCTTAGTAGAGCCTGATTCAGTAGACATAGCCTAGTAGAGCCTGATTCAGTAGACAGTAAAGTAAAGCTTAGTAGAGGCTGATTCAGTAGACAGTAAAGTAGCTTAGTAGAGCCTGATTCAGTAGACAGTAGCCTAGTAGAGCCTGATTCAGTAGACATAGTAACCTAGTAGAGCCTGATTCAGTAGACAGTAAAGTAGCCTTAGTAGAGCCTGATTCAGTAGACAGTAAAGTAGCCTAGTAGAGCCTGATTCAGTAGACAGTAGCCTAGTAGAGCCTGATTCAGTAGACATAAATAGCCTAGTAGAGCCTGATTCAGTAGACAGTAAAGTAGCCTAGTAGAGCCTGATTCAGTAGACATAGTAGCCTAGTAGAGCCTGATTCAGTAGACAGTAAAGTAGCCTAGTAGAGCCTGATTCAGTAGACAGTAAAGTATCCTAGTAGAGCCTGATTCAGTAGACAGTAAAGTAGCCTAGTAGAGCCTGATTCAGTAGACAAGTAGCCTAGTAGAGCCTGATTCAGTAGACAGTAAAGTAGCCTAGTAGAGCCTGATTCAGTAGACAGTAAAGTAGCCTAGTAGAGCCTGATTCAGTAGACAGTAAAGTAGCCTAGTAGAGCCTGATTCAGTAGACAGTAGCCTAGTAGAGCCTGATTCAGTAGACAGTAAAGTAGCCTAGTAGAGCCTGATTCAGTAGACAGTAAAGTAGCCTAGTAGAGCCTGATTCAGTAGACAGTAAAGTAGCCTAGTAGAGAGTAAAGTAGCCTAGTAGAGCCTGATTCAGTAGACAGTAAAGTAGCCTAGTAGAGCCTGATTCAGTAGACAGTAAAGTAGCCTAGTAGAGCCTGATTCAGTAGACAGTAACCTAGTAGAGCTGATCGTAGACAGTAAACCTAGTAGAGCCTGATTCAGTAGACAGTAAGTAGCCTAGTAGAGCCTGATTCAGTAGACAGTAAAGTAGCCTAGTAAAGAAGTACCTAGTAGAGCCTGATTCAGTAGAGACAGATAAAGTAGCCTAGTAGAGCCTGATTCAGTAGACATAAATAGCCTAGTAGAGCCTGATTCAGTAGAAGTAAAGCCTATGATAAAGTAGACCTAGTAGAGCCTGATTCAGTAGACAGTAAAGTAGCCTAGTAGAAGTAAGTAGCCTAGTAGAGCCTGATTCATAACAGTACCTATAGAGCCTGATTCAGTAGACAGTAAAGTAGCCTAGTAGAGATGTAAAGTAGCCTAGTAGAGCCTGATTTCAGTAGACCAGTAAGTAGCCTAGTAGAGAGTAAAGTAGCCTAGTAGAGCCTGATTCAGTAGACAGTAGTAGCCTAGTAGAGCCTGATTCAGTAGAAGTAAGCCAGTAGCAGCCTAGTAGAGATGTCAGTAGACAGTAGCCTAGTAGAGCCTGATTCAGTAGACAGTACCTAGTAGAGCCTGATTCAGTAGACAAGTACCTAGTAGAGCCTGATTCAGTAGACAGTAGCCTAGTAGAGCCTGATTCAGTAGACAGTAACCTAGTAGAGCCTGATTCAGTAGCAGTAACAGTAGACCTAGTAGAGCCTGATTCAGTAGACAGAGACCTAGTAGAGCCTGATCAGTAGACAGTAGTAACTAGTAGAGCCTGATTCAGTAGACAGTAACCTAGTAGAGCCTGATTCAGTAGACAGTAACCTAGTAGAGCCTGATTCAGTAGACAAGTAGCCTAGTAGAGCCTGATTCAGTAGACAGACTAGTAGAGCCTGATTCAGTAGACTAGTACCTAGTAGAGCCTGATTCAGTAGACAGTAGCCTAGTAGAGCCTGATTCAGTAGACAGAGTAACCTAGTAGAGCCTGATTCAGTAGACAGAGTAACCTAGTAGAGCCTGATTCAGTAGACAGAGTAACCTAGTAGAGCCTGATTCAGTAGACAGAGTAACCTAGTAGAGCCTGATTCAGTAGACAGTAGACCTAGTAGAGCCTGATTCAGTAGACAGTACCTAGTAGAGCTGATTCAGTAGACAGTAACTAGTAGAGCCTGATTCAGTAGACAGAGTACCTAGTAGAGCCTGATTCAGTAGACAGTAGAACCTAGTAGAGCCTGATTCAGTAGACAGTAAGTACCTAGTAGAGCTGATTCAGTAGACAGTAACCTAGTAGAGCCTGATTCAGTAGACAGAAGTAGCCTAGTAGAGCCTGATTCAGTAGACAGTAAACCTAGTAGAGCCTGATTCAGTAGACAGTAAGCCTAGTAGAGCCTGATTCAGTAGACAGAAGTAACCTAGTAGAGCCTGATTCAGTAGACAGAGTAACCTAGTAGAGCCTGATTCAGTAGACAGAAAGTAGCCTAGTAGAGCCTGATTCAGTAGACAGTAAAGTAGCCTAGTAGAGCCTGATTCAGTAGACAGTAAAGCCTAGTAGAGCCTGATTCAGTAGACAGAGTAGCCTAGTAGAGCCTGATTCAGTAGACAGAGTACTAGTAGAGCCTGATTCAGTA